AGCTGAGGTCTGGGGAGAACAAGCCCGGGCGCGACGGCCCCAATCCCTTCACCCTGCCTTGCCAGAGCCAGACGTGTATCCTCCCTGAAGGTCAACGCTGACCCCAGCTAGATGCTCCTCAGCAGAAACAATGCCACAGCGGGCTGGGTACGGCCAGAGCTGCTGGCACGGGACAGGGTGCAGCCCTGCCTGGGAGTCGCCGCACTGCGTGCAGGAGGCTGCACCCCAGCCTGCACCCTGGAGCCAGGCATCCCTCCTCCCCTGCCCCATCCAGGCATGGGAGGGGGGCACCAGGGCTGCAGGGTCCGGCTGCCCCCGCGCTCGGGGCTGGTGCGGGGCCGGGCGAGCGCAGCGTTTGCAGGGGATGCTGGAGGCTGGCGCAAGCACATCTGGAGTCTAGACTCGGCGGCTCTGTGGGCCGGGCCTGCCGGCTGGGCCGTGCCCACACCCCGCTGCACTGTGTTTGCTTAGCTGGAGGCATTTAATTGGAATCCGAGTGGCCCCTCTCGTTCTTGCGGCCGGGGCTGCTGGAAGGGAGCAGGAGTCATCGAAAGCAGCTGGAGGAGGCGGCAAAGGGTCATTACGCGGCAGAAGACGCGGCGCCACTTTTGGGGCGCGGGGAGGAGCGGCTCAATACGGCTTTTGTGGAGGAGCTGCCAAGCCAGCAAATGGCCTGTTTGTTCTGGCAGCAGCCGGGGCAGCGCGGGCAGGGCCTGGAGACACGCTGTGGGCCGGAGGCGCCGGGCATGGGCTTGGCCATCCTGGGCGAGCTGCGACTGGCTGGAAGATGCCCGTGCCCTGCCCGAGCTCTGGTGCCAGCTCCTGCAGGCCTGGGGCACGTCCTTGCTGGAACAGGGCAGGCGGAGGGCTGCACCCGCGACACTGCAGGGACCCAGCGAGGAGACCTGTGCTCACCTGGGCAGCGGAGGCTATAAGGGTCCTGGAGCAAGACAGCAGCCTCCAGGCCATGCTGGCTTTGCCATGGAGTTTTGTTGCAGGGCACGGGGCAAAGCCCCTGCAGCCTGGGGCAGCTGGACACAGCAGCCTGCCGGGGGGCCAGACAACCAGCTTTCTCTGCTCCATGCTCGGGCCAGAGCCGGCCCTGGAGTCCTGCAAAGGCAGTTCCCACCAGTGACCCGGTGCCCTGGGGCCAGGGGTCAGCAGCCAGCGTATTAAATCTTAAGTGTGTGGAGGAGGGTCACTTGGAAACAGCAGAGCAACGCAGGCCACCGGGGCGCCGTGTCCAGGGGCAGGGCGGGTCACTGCAGGGCCAGCGTCGCACCTGCGTGGGGAGGCAGGCGGGCAGTGCACAAGGCCAGGCCTCTCTGCCCCTGGCTGGAGCTTGGGGGCAGAGAGGCTGCTGGCGCCCCAGGAGGGGTGTGCCTTGGGGACCAGGTCACGGCCTGGCCCAGGTAACAGGCCCTCTCCACCTACCTGGCCTCTTTCCTCCTCCACCACCCAGGCCGAGGCATCACTGTGGGTCACCGCAGGCAGCTCTGCCAGTTGCTGGGAAGCTCCCACGGGCCAACCCTCACACGGAGAGGAAAGGGGCAGTGAGGATAGTGCCACGGCAGTCTCTCTGCTGGCAGAGGAGGGGGACAGGACCCTGGGCAAACAGTTCTGGGGGCACCGAGGAAGGACTGGGGCTTGGGACCCCCAAGCTGCAGTCTTCTGCCATGCTTTCAACCTCCGTGTGTCAGCCTCCTTGTGTGTGTGCAGGGCACCACTACCTAGGCCCTGCCAGGGTAAGCGTGCCACAGCCATGAGCTTCCAGCAGCTTCAGGACCCGCGCAGGCCCCTCGCTCCCCAGGTAAAGCTGGAGCGCACGCAGCAAGGAGATAGACTCAGGGCATGGAGAGCGCAGCAGGCCCAGGGCAGCGCTCCCCCCGGAGAGGAAGGCGCAGCCCCCGCTCCCCGCACCGTGAGCCTGGGGAAGGAGAGGCGGGGGCTGCCCCTCCTTCGAGATGATTTAATATGAGAGAAAGCGAGTCCACGATACAAAATTTAAAAACCGGCCCCGCAGGGGCCCCCCGCACCGAGGGGCCGGTGATAAAACGGAGCGGGGCAGCCCTGCAGCTGGGGAGGGCAGGGGCGGCTGGTCCGGGCACACGAACACGATGCGGCTACATAGATGGGGGGGAAAGGGGAGGCTTCTTGCCGTCGTCGCTTGCGATGGGGCTGGGGCCGGGTGGCCCGGCTTGGCCCAGAGCACCGAGCCCAGCCCAGACCTGCAAGGTCACTTCTCTTTCTTCTCCCCGTCTGTCAGTCCGTCCTTGGAGGCCGCGGGCACCTCCTTGGGAGTGGAGCTCTCCTCGTAGCTGGAGAGGAGAGAGGGAGAAGATGTGGGGGAGGTTAAGCCCCTTCCTCCTGCGGGGAGGCTTAGCCCCTCTGTGCTGTGGAGGCAGCGCAGCCAGCACGGGTGCACGTCACAGTAGCAGGGAGGGTGGCGTCGAAGGCAAAGCCTGCCCGAAGGATGGGCCAGCTGAGCGGCTCGGCTCCCAGCACGGTGGGGAGAGCTCCTGGGCGCGTTGTGCCGGCGTGTCAGGGGCAGCAGGATGAGATCAGGACACAAGCCGCAGGGACCCCAGCGCTGCACCCACCCTGTCAGACTTGTGCCTCGGGGCAGGGGAGGACTGTCAGCACTGAGCCCCAGGCAGGATGAGGAGAGGACCTGGCTGCCCCAGGCTGAGCTTCCCAGCACTAGGCCCCGCAGCACACAAACGTGCACACAAACGTACACACACACACACACACACACACACACACACACACACGCACGCGCGCGCGCATGCACAACTCGGCGGGTATCTATCAGAGGCAGCTCCTAGGCACGTCAAGGCCATGCAGAAGTCATGGGTAAACAGTGCATTTCCCCACCCCACAGGGCACACAGAACCAGGATTTTCGGGCACCCCGGTCAGCTGGCGGCTGAGGGACGAGCGGCTCCGGCTCAGCCAGGGCAGGCTGCATGTGCAGCAAGGCACTCTGGACTCTCCCCAGGGCGAGTTCACTGCAGCCACGTGGTCAAGGGAAGGGCAGGGGTAAGGGTCCGACAGAGACGCCATCCTGGGACCCCAGCTCTGCACAGAGGAGCGTGGGGGCGGAAGAGATACAGAAGCAGCAAAGCCTCTGCCAGGAGCACAAAGCTGCTGCCCTCGTGCCCACCCTAGACAGCGATGAGCGGCAACACCCCCTCCAGCCCCACAAGCAGATGATCCGTTGGGATCAGCTGGTCCAGACTGGGTAAACGGGTAGGTTTCGACTGCGCCCAGGATGGCACGAGTGGGGAAGGGGCCCCAGCGCCAGGGAAGAGAGTGCGAGAGCAGGGAGGCCGACGGCTCCCCCCTGAAGACAAGCTGCGGCAGGGAGGTGGAAGGAGCGAGCAGGGCAGGAAGACCCTTGAGGGACTGACCGTACCTGGCCAGAGAGGCAAGGAAAGGGCCTGGTGGGCGGAGGCTACATGGCGCTGGGGCTTTGCTGCCGGCGTCGGCGGGGGCAGGACAGTTTCTGCTGCATGGAATCGGCCAGGCTGGCCGGCGAACCGGACACGGTGGGGAAGTGGGTAAGTCGCGGCGTGTGTGGCAAGATTTCAGCAGAGGATTCGTAGCTGCAGGAAAGACAGGAGGCAGGAGGGGAGAGGAAGGAGCAGGACAGAGGAAAGAGAGAGAAAGAAAGAAAGAAAGAAAAAGAGAGATAGAGAGAGACGGGAGTGAGACCCGCAGCAGCAAGAACTGTTACCTTGGGGAGCCTGCGGGTGCCGGCTGCTGCCCCTTTCTGCTGGCCTGGGGCGTGGGCACGGGAGTCAGTCTTCCTGGGAAGCCCAGGGAGCTCACGCCACTGCCAGAGGCAAGTGTAGCAGTTCAAGTTCATGGGCCAGGGGGAAGGTGGGGAGGAATATGAAAGCAGATGGCAGGGGGTAGAGCTGGCTGGGCCACGAGCAGAGAGACACTGGGCCCCACCTGGGCTGGGGTGGGCCTGACGGCCACGGTGAGGCAACAGACCAGCGCGTACCACAGCGCGAGCGGCGGGTCAGGGGTCCCACAGCCCATGCCCGCATGCCCAACACGCCGAAGGAAGCCAGAGACTTCTGAGCAGCTCCGGTCTGTGGAGCACAAGGAGTTAACTCTACGCCTGCCCCAACCCCAGTCCAACTGCCCGGCCACCCTGGACTCCTGCCCCTGCTGCTCCCTCCGCGCCATCACGCACACGCACGCAGAGCCTGGGGCACTTGTGGCCCCCGCAGCTCCGTCACCAGAGCATGAAGCGCCCCAGGGCATGGCAGGTCCCCGTGTTCCTTGCACCCTGCAAAGTGCCAGGCCTTGGGAGCGGGCAGGCTGCCACCTGAGCGTGGCCAGAGCCGAGGGCGGTGGGGGCACAGGGCAGCCAGCCACATCCAGCCACAGCTTGGTGGCAGGCTGAAAGCTTTGGAGCGCCTCGCGGGCATGGGGTGGAGGGGGAGGCAGCGCTGCACCCAACAGGATTCCTAGGGGTGGGAGCAGTTTCCGGCCCTCCGGCAGATGAGCTCGATGCAGAGCTCCAGATGCTGGAGCGGTCTCAAGGGACGCGGGGTTCTGGGAACCTCCCCAGCCGCTGGCACTCCCCCAGAGCCAGCGCCTGCCTGTGCAGGGCCGAGCTAAGCCTCCCCACTGCTGCCACGGCCTCATGCCCCATTCACTGCAGCCCTGCTGGGACCTGGGTAGCAGCAGAGCCACAGGGGACTCAGCAGCAGGGTGCCCCATAGCCTCTGCTTTGGCACAGAGCCCTCTCGCCTGGCTGCAAGCCTTCAAGGGCCTTGCTAGCGCCCCCGCAGCCTGTCCTCGTGCGCTTCCCAGGCAGGGAGGTGATGCAGCAGTGGGTGGGTGAGTCACGGGCATGTGTGAAGGGGCGGCAGGAGGCCAGGTGCACAGGAAGCACGAGGGTGGGGGCCGCGAGCCTGCAGCCACCTGCACCAGCCAACACCCAAGGCCAGGCAGGTGCTGGCAGGGTGGGGACACTAGAAACGTGTGCGCCGGGGGAGCAGGGGAATTGCAGCTTCTCTGGGGCTGGCAACTCTCGCCTGGCTCCGTCCATCAGCTCCATGCTGACCCAAGGGGCACAGACAGGCCGCCAGGGAGCCTGGGGGGAGCTGGAGGCTGCAGAGCAAGGGTCCTGCTGCCAGGCGTGAGCTGTCCAGGGTGTGTGACACATGGGAAGGCTCAGCAACCAGGGGAAGTCTCCTGGGCCCTCTGCACATGTGGCTGGCCCCCAGCACCTCCCCCTGGCACTGCAAGGAGCCCCCCCCTCCCAAGACTAAGAGAAGCCATGGCCGGCCCGAGGACACCAGTATCATGCCAGGCAGGAAAGCACTGCGTTGAGGGCAGATAGGCTGCCTCTGCCCTTGGGAGCTGCTGGATAGTGGGACTCGGTCTCCCTGCCCAGGGAAGGTGCCCAGGCAGCACCGTACTGCCTCTCAAGCCTTCCCCAGCCTCTCTGGATCACCTACACCTCTCCCTGCGGCCTCACCCTCCGACTCACACAGAGTCACAGGTGCTGCAGTGATGCCTCGGGTCACAGAGGAGCTAGTTCACACACCAAGGCAGCAGCTACGGGGCCAATGTGTACGGTCACAAATTCAAGGAACGCTCCCCCACCCCTTACGCCCCAATGAGCTCATACGGGGCTCACACCCTGCCCTGGCCTGGAACTCCGGCCCTGGAGCCTTAATGCACTTCCTGCCCAGCCAGGTGCTTACCTGAACATTTCAGTGACTTCTCCCTTCACCAAAGCCACGAGGAGAGGGAACCCGATGCAGGCAGGGACCAGGTACAGCAGCGCCGGCTGGGGAGAGCAGAGGCAGTTAGGACACAGACCGGCTGGAGGAGCTTATGGGCATGAGCTCCGGAAGAGCCAGATGGGCGGACGGCAGCTGGAGGTTGGCACCCAAGTACCAGGGAGGCCCAGGCCCAGCGCAGGATGACACTCAGCTTTGCGGCCTGTGGGCTTTTATCTACCCTACTCCAGAAACCTGTACGGTCCCAGTCCCGAGTTCCTACCTCAGCGAGGTGAGAACCTGCAAAGCCTCCAGGTCCCCTGCCCTGAGCTCACAAGAGGGGGAAGGTTCAGCACCCAGGACAGGGGCGCTGTGCCCTCGCCTGACTCTGGGCAGGCTCTCCAGGCCAATGCTGACACCATGGTATTATTGGCCTGTTGGAGGCTGGTGGCACCTGAGACAGCGATGGCAGGAAGTGGAGGGGAGGAGGCTCACCTGGGCATGCTTGAAGATGTGCATGATGAAGATGGTGAGGCCCAGGCCGAAGATGTAAGCCACGAAGCTGGTGTAGAAGTACGTGTGCGTGTTCTTCTTCAAGCTGTGAGGGAGCGGAGGGGTCAGCCTGGGCCCTCAGACCTGTGACACATACCCCAGCCCTGGGCATGGCCAGGGCAGGACTGACAGGCACACGAGAGGCTGTCACCTGGGGGCAAGCTCTGCGGTCGCAGTCGGGATGACCCCAGTGAGCGTAAGGGGTGAGACATGGGGTGGGAGTGTAGCGGGAGGTGCTGCAGTGAGGTGTGGTCAGCAGCTCGTGGCCACACACTCCCATCACTGCTCTAAAGCAGGACAAGTGTTGGCTGTGACTCTCTGCCGGAGGTAGTGGGGATTTCCCAGTAAGTCGGGAAAAATGCTGCAGTGGCCACTGAGACCTGGGGCATGAGGTGTGAGAAGTGCTTCTCTTCTGAAACTGCCTGCCCCCACCCCGGCAATGCCTGCCCGCTAGCCAGTCCTGACTGCCTGAGACCCCGGGTGCTCCTCTTAGCCGGGTCTACAGTGGCCGAGCACTGCGGGACACTGCCGGCGCAGGCGTGGCTCACCTGATGTCGAAACGCAGCAGCAAGGCAATGAAGATTCCTGCAGGAGGAAAGGCACTGTCAGTGCAAGGCAGAGGCAGCAGCTGCAAAGCGAGCAAGAGCTCACGCCCAGACCGCGCGCTTGGTAGCAGTCGCAGGCTGCACAGCACCCTCTCGCGGCTGGATTTGGTACTGAGCCCATGCGGGATGAGCCACCCACAAGTGACCCATGATGTAGGGGCAGGTGAACAGCTCAGGCAAGGGCTCAGGGGTCCCCACTCTGGACCTTGGCACCAGGCGCATGTCCTTTTCCAGCTGTTGCCCTCACCCGGCCCCAGGAGCCTGGAGGCTGCAGGTCCAGTCCCGAGTAACTGGAGCTCCCCCACCCTTGTCACCCTCCTCACCTGGAATGACAATATCTCCCAGCCCCAGCATGGCGAAGTTGTCAGCTTCCAGCCCCTTCTCCAGCAGGTCCTGGGGGAAAACCACTGGGAAAGAGAAGGGCATGTGAGCAAAAGAGAAGAGGTTGGGCGTATACAGCCCCAACGCAAGCCTGTTCCTGAGTAGGGACCAACCCAGAGAGGGGCAGGTGGGTCTGTGTAGGAATGAGCTGCAGACCCAGGCACCCTCACAGCTGATTCTCCCATGCAAGATGCTGCACTGCCCTTCCAGAGCTGATCAGTGCAAACCCAAAGCAGCAAGGAGCCACTGAAGTGTTCAGCACCCACCTCGAGGCATCACTTCCCCATCTGCCCCCCAGACAGCTGTGACCCTGCACCCACCCCATGTCACGTACAAGACATGTCAGCCATGGCTGGACAGACTCCCTTTGCTCTTCCTCATGCGATGCAGGCAGTGCATGAGTCCCAGCCTAAATGACCGACCCAGCTCTGCCGCGGTTCCCACTGCTGGTGGGACCTGGACACCCCCCCGGCTGCCTGGAGGGCCCATCCTGGCACCCCATGGAAAGGAAACCCAGGAAGGAGAACACTGCACTGACACATGAAGACACCACATGATGCACACAAGGTAGGCAGTGTGCAGGGCATGGGCAACAAGGGAGACCAACCACAGCACGGCACGCCCCCCACCCAGGGACAGCAGAAATCGACTCACATTTTATTGGCGCCTCAAACGATTTGGCAACAGTCACCATCACGTTGGTGCCGAAGACCTAGGAAGGGGCAGAGCAGGGCAAGATGAGAGCAGCTGTACAAGCAAGAAGGGAAGAACCTCTTACCCAACCGTGGCCTGGCCCCGGCCAAACCCCCGCAGGGCCAATCTGGGCCACACCAGCGATAGCACTGTCAGTCCTGCCCCTGGGGGCTTTGTGCCCTGCTCTCCAGTCCCAGGGCTGGGGGGATCACAGAAGGGCTGGCAGATAGCGGACAGGCCCAGAGTGTCCCCCTGCCAAGACAGCAGCCGGGTGCCCCCTGGCGGCCAATCGGCGGAGGCTCGGCAATCACACAAAGCAGGTTTCCAGGGAGGTGCCGGGGCTGGCTCCATCCCGGCCTGCCCTGGAGCCACAGGCGAGTCCCCCTTAACTCAGATGGGACACAGGTCACACACATGGGGCTCTGCTCCAATTGAAGATATGTCAGTTGGGACCAGAGCAACCCCAGAAGGCGCAGTGGTCCAGGCCCCGAGCCAGCCGGCTGGTACAGCTGAAAGCTTTGCTCAGGACCAGACTCAACAGAAAGGGATACGATCGTCAAGGCAACTGCAGTTTGCTCCACAAGGCACTGTCCGTTTCAGGCACCGGCTCCTTGCTGGTCACCGGACTGTGAATACACTGGCCACTGTGAACCTTCACTTTGCATTTCAGGGTGCCTAGTTGTACACACGTGCTGTTGGCCTAACCAGATCTCATGCCAGTTAGTTCCTGGCCGGCGAGCCCCAAAAGCTGGCATTCAGAAGCACCTGAGAGCACGTGGGCTGTGTGAGATTGCTGCCGCTAGGCCGCGAGGTCGCAGAACTCCAGCTAGGGCTCCAGGGAGCCTCCTGCAGACTGTGCCCCGAGGCACCTCCGAGGACACAGGAAAAGTCTACTGCTGCTGCTCTGTGAAGCTCCACATGAGGCTACAAGGGTCCCAGCCCCACATGCACGTCAACTGGCTTTTCACTTCCTTGCTGCGAATCACCCGAGATCCTGCCATGCGAATACACCTCCAAGATCCCTAGCGACTGCTTGCTGACAGGCCCAAATCAGCAAAAGAGGCTGCACCTCTGAGACAAAGACAAGCCCTTTACATGCACCAAGAGCCTCAGGAAGCCCTGCCGGGGGCTGTGTGCACAGACAGAGCATGAGCACCAGTCAAGGAAATCTAGATATGCTCAAGCAGGGAAACTGAGTCAGCAGTGATGGTATCAGCTCTGCCCTGCTCTGCAAAGGGGCAAGTTTGTCTGGTTAGGAAAAGAGTTGCACCAGGAAGAGCATAAAGGGAATGCACAGCAGTGAAAAACCTGACATCCCAGGCCAACATGGCTCTGGGAGCTTTGTGTGCTCAGGTGGCTCAAGCCTCCACCCCAAAGCAATGGAAAACCAGCACACAAACTCACAAGACCAGGGCTACTGGATTTATTAAATAACAGA